TGTCTCAAAAAAAAAAAAAAAATTAAAGACTTAGAGATACATACTTAAGAATTTACAAATGAAATAAATGTTTGACATTTGCTTTAAAATAATCCAATGGCAAGAGAGGGTGTGAAAAAGTAAGATGGATACACATGAAACAAGATTGGCCATGTGTTGTCACAAAGCCTGGTATGAGTACACAGCAGCTCTTTCCACTTTTGTGCATGTTTGAAATTTGCTATAATTGAGTAATAGAACTATTTTCTTTTTTTTCTTTTCTTTTCTTTTTTTTTTTGTTGCAGTTGTTTAGCTGGCCCGGGCCAGGTTTGAACCCGCCACTCTCGGTGTATGTGGCTGGCGCCATAACCACTGTGCTATGGGCACTGCCATAATGGAACTATTTTCCTCCTATTTTCTCCATTTTTCAAATTCCCTTATATGTTAACCTATTTTGTAAACTATGTTGTATTTCTGGTAAAAATGTTTATCCAGAATCTAATAATGGGCACAAGAGAAAAACTCAATTCAAGGTGGGGGGACAGGGGAAAGAGGAGGAGAACGGGGGATTGGTGTTCTCCCACCTTATGGGCACAATGTAAGAGTATACGGCACACCTCCTTTATAAGGGACACAACTACAAGGACTTTACCTAACAAACGCAAACATTGTACCCTAATTGTTTGTACCCTCATATTAATCTAAACTTTAAAAAAAGAAAATAAATAGATTCAGTGAATTAAAACGAACAATAAGAATCTAATATGGGGAAACAGACAGATATGCGTACACTCTTCAAAAATGTCCTAATAGACTAAGTTTGAGAAACTGTTCCAGAATGAAGGTAATTAATGAGACATAACAACTAAATGTAATATCAAAGTCTGGATTAGATCCTGGGTCACAAACAAACCTATAAAGGAAATTACTGGGACTGCTAGTGAAAATTGAATATAGCCTGAATATTAGATAAAAGTATTTTATCAGTGTTAAATTTCATGAGTGATTTAATTGTGGTTTTGTATAATACACTTTTTCCTATGAGATACAAGATTACATTAAAAGGTGTCATGGTGCTAGTAACACACAAATGACTCATAAAAAAATGTGTAAGTGTAATGTATAATGTGTAAAATATAAACAAATGTGCACAATGTTTAAATAAATATGAAAACTCCCATACGTTGTATACCCCTTAAAAAATATTCAGTTTGGCATGGTGGCTCATGCCTATAATCCCAGCCTTGGAAGTCTGAGGTAGAAGGGTTGCTTAAGGCCAGGAGTTTGAGACCAGCCTGGGCAGCACAGCAACACCTCATCTATATAACACAGACACATACACATGTGGTACAGCCACAAAATGGAATATTATTAAACCATTAAAAGGTATGAAGTACTAAAACATGCTACAATACGGATGAACTGTGAATAAATTATGCTATGTGAAGAAATCAGAGGTTACATACTATATAAAATGTCCAGAATAGGGAGAAACAGAAGACCAGTTGTTGCCAGAGGCTGGGGACGGAGTATGGCGTAGCA